TTTCCCTACTGGGGATTTGGGTCTGTGCCTTTTCAGGTATATGTGTAAAGCGATCCAATTTAGGTGAAGAATTTCATGTACTGAAGAAGGAATGACGTGGGACCACTTTCTGACCAATTTTGAGATTGTATGCCCAAAATAATTCTTTGTGCAGTTAATTTCGGTAATTTTGTTCATCTTGAATTTCTTTTCTTTTTTTTTTTAATTCTTTAATAAATAAATATTATTTTATAAATTAAAATTGAAATTTAAAGTGGGGTTTATATAAAAAGAATTAGTTTTTCTTAAATATATTAAATTTTAATGTATGAATATATTTTTAAAATCATAAAAAAAAATTAATTTCAAAACATATAAAAATTAATTTGATAATAACCTATGAGGTAAATATAAAAAAATTTTGGTCCCACGCCCCCGGAGCACAGGATGCGCCCCTATGACGAATCAAAGATCTTTTCATTTAGTTACTGGAAAAATAATAGTGTCTCGGAAAATTCCATGCGAACTTCCAATTTATCTGTCATGCTCCTTTGAGTGCATCAAATTTAAAATTCATAGCAATTGAACATAATAAAAATTAGTTTGCCTAGATTGGTGCTCAAAGAGGTTAATTTGTTGCTAGCTTGTTTTATTGACTAATCTATATTATGTATGTGTGTGTGTATATATAATATTTTGTAGCTTGGATTGTATAACATTAGTTATTGAATTAAAAGAGATCCATGCATGATTTTAAGGGAGTTAGAATGAGAGAGAGAGAGAGAGAGAGAGAGAGAGTGCTAGAGTTAGAGCAAGGTTTTCGACGGCCAAGGACAGTGGGGCTCGATGATGGCTTCCAAGGTATGGCAAACGGTTCCTAGAGCAGGCTACTACGTTCTTCTTCAATGATTTTCCAGAAGATTGTTCAGTGAAGGATTTGTGGTTTTGCTTTTGATCATATGGGAAGGTGACGGATGTGTATATTCCCACAAGGTGGGATCGAAGAGGCCATCGGTTTGGGTTTGTTCGTATGTTGGGCGTCTCTGATGTTAAGGATATGGAAAGGAGACTGAACCAGATTTGGCTTGATTTCTACCATCTTAAGGTGAAGTTGGTAGAGAATATGAAAAAAGGAAAGGATGAGACTAGGATGGCTCATAACAGGAGAGAAGAGAAACAATGGGTTAGACGGGGTAATAAGGTGAGTTCGGGGAGGTCTTACGCACAGGCTGTAGCTGATAATTTGGGTGCAATTGAGGATGGCCTATCCTGGAATAATGGGTTAGACAATTGGTGGTAAAGAAAGGGAAAGAGGCAATAGC